CCAGGACCAGAAGGCTGAACCCACAGCTCATGCTTCAGCTCAGACTCCATCTTCTCCGCGCCTCAGTCTCTGGCCTCCGCCAAAGCGCGCGGTTTGGGGTGAGGACCCGGACGCACAAATACGCAGGCACCTGGACCTACAGTCATGGCATTTTCTCAAAGTGGCCTCTAATGAGGGAAGGAGTTGACACGTGTCTGCTCCGCCCGCGGTTCCATCCTCCACCCAGGCCTCTGCCAGAGCAATGGAATTAACTGAGGGGGGCCTGGGTCCCACGTAGGTGTGCAAGGGGGTGGGGTAGGGATTCGTGATTTCCAGCACATCGGTGTCTGTCAGTCTCTGGACCCCCGGCGTCCTCCGCGCCCTCCCCCGGCGTGTTCACACGCCGCTTCTCACTGCCGCAGCCGGGCCGAGCTAATCAGCACAACATCCACCTATCGATCGCTGGCTCGGTGCCAGACGGGCCTGCACGGTGCCAGTGGAGGCTGCGGGGCACTGGGGCGGTAGGGCACAGCTGCAGGGGAAGGGGCGCCCCTTCCCCTGGCTCCACCCAGGACACTGTTCAGAAAGCGGGCCCCTGTTGGGCTTGAGGGGATCATAGCCCTGCCAGAGGTGGGAGACAGTGTGGGACTGAGAGCAAACGGGGCCCTCCCTCCTCGGCCCCACCCCCTCCTCCTTATAAAAGCGAAGAACAAAGAGGCCGCTGGGGAAGGAGGCTTTGATCTGACCCCACCTTCCCCGTTCTAGGCCAGGCACCGCCCAGACTGCCCTTGGGGAGGTGGAGGGACACCCAGCTCTCAGGTGCCCAGGCATCCGGAAACCCAGGTGCTCAGAGGGAGCACGGCTACACAATTGGGTGGGCTGTCAGGGGTATCCAAACCCTCCTCAACACAGGAAGCCAGCCAGGGAGGTGGGCCAGGGTGCCAAGCTCCACAGCTGCTGTTGGCACCTACCCCACACTGCCCAGAGGGGTGCCCACTGAGGTCTGGCATGGATGGCCTGGGCACAGCTGGCACGGAGGTCAGGCAAAGCCACACTGAGGGCAGAGGCTGCAGGGAGTCCTGGTGTCAGGGAAGGAGCCAGAGGGCAGGAGACTGAGGAGAGCAACAGAAGGATGGGCGATTTATTGGGGATTTGGTCCAGACACTTACAAAAATACAAACTGGTATGAAATTCAACCTCATGGCAAGTCCGTCTTCACAGAAGACAAATGAGTGACCCTCTGGGGAGAGAAAGTTGCAGCCCAAGGAAAGGGGCCCACAGGGCATCAGGCACAGACTGCAGGCCCAGGCATCTTCCTTGCCCTGGTCTGGCAATCAATCTGTCCCCAGGTCTTCGGCCTTGGCCCCTAGAAGGTTCAAGAATTTGATGCCTCCAAATCCCAGTCTTCCCAGCGGATGAGATGAGACCATCAAAGCAGCTGACAGAGACCCTACATTTGCTTGTGCCAGCACCAGGGGGCTCAGGCACCCCAGCAACTCCACTTCAGCCTGATGGGGGCCAGCCGTGAGGGTCACCTCGACCCCCACCTCCCCCATCACTCTCCCATCTTGTCTGGCTTGGAACTCCCAGCTCAGGTGGCAGGGGCTCCTCCAGTGAGTCTTGGGAGGACTCTAGCTCCTGGGGGTGGCAGAAGGGTCTGCTTGGCTCAGAGAACTCGCAGGAACCGCAGAATTGGGAGCAGCAGCAGCAGCAAGAGACAGAGGGGGCGGGGAGCACCCCCCCCCTCGCCATCCCGATGTGCCACTCTCTCCAGGGCTCCCAACTGGATGGGCTGACTCCGACTCTGTGAAGGAATAGGGTGGCACTGATGGGTCTTTGCACTTTGGCAGCCTCTTTCCTGCCTTGCCCATTAGCTATTCTCTCCCATCCCACTCTCTATGCTCTCCCACAGCAGCCACCCCCTTCCCATAACCTACCACCTGGTCCTCTCTAAGCCCTAACTTCCAAGTCTCCCCCAAACCATCACTACAGATGGTCAGTCAAGGTCTGGAAGGGTCTTGCCCTGAAGATGCCATTCCTTGGCCCAGCATAAAGGGGTACAGTGGAAGCTCTCACAAGGCTAAATGGGGAGAAGAGGTCGCAGCTTACAGCCCCACCAGGGCCCTCAGGGCCTGTTACTCCCAGATATTCCCCATTTTTCCTCATTCCCAAGGGCCCACACTGGCCCGAAGTGTTGCTCCCTGTTCCCCAATTCACTTACTGCTCTCTTTGCAGCAGACAGACACCTGGAGCCTCAAGCACTGGCCAGAACTCTCCGGAGTTGGCACCGCTGGGTGGTGGGAAATTGGGAGGAAGAAGTGATTTAGCACAGGCTAGTTTGCACACCTCAGATTCTGCTTCAGCCTCTCCCAGCTCCTCTTCTCTCCAGTTTCCTGCAAAGCTTTTCCTTATTTTTGGGCCATACCCAGATGCCAGGCCCCATCCTTGCCCCTCTTCACGTCCCCTTTCTTAACTCATCTTCCTTTCTCCTCCTCTCTATAGACTCACTCCAGATGGCCCCCTGCTCAGTCCTGGGCTCAGGCCCCCTGCCACTCCCAGGCCTCCTCCTCCTTTCACCTCAGACAACGGCAGGCCACCCCATTCCTCTCCCCACCTTCCCCAAGAGGTGGTCCGTGTGCCCGTCCTCACTCACAGATGTAGTAGTAGGTCTCTCCAGGCAAGAACTCGAAGCCAAGGGAGAAGGGTGTGAAGCGCTGAATCTTCTCTGAGAACCGAACAGGGCCAAAGGGAGCAAAGGGGAGGGAGCACTCCCAGCGCTTGAAGGCACCCGGCCCCTCAGCCTGGCAGGCCTCATAGCCTGGCCACTCCACCATGTATAAAGCAAATGTCTCGGGGCCCCGGGCCTTCATAGTGTGGGCAGAAGATGTCTAGGTAATCGTTGAGGCCCAGCTCCACCACGGCGTCTCCCTGAAGCAGCCTGTAGGCATAAGGTCAGCATGGGCTGAGGTGTTATAACAGCATGCTTGGGCCACCAGGATCTGAGATACCCCTCCTGCCAGCCCCTTCCCCACCTCCTGGAGAAGGAGCAGCTCCAGAAGGCCTGAGTTCCCCAACAACTCAGAAGAGACAAAGACAGTGCAAGAAATGGAGGAGGTAACCAATTCACAGGTACAGAGAGGTTAAGGAACTGCCGTGCCCACAGCCACGTGGCTCAAATGTGAGAAGGCCATTCACTACAACCTACCTTTCTGGTTGGAACTGCCACCCATCTCTCTAGCCCCAGTGTCCAACACAGCCTGGCCCAGCACCAGAGCCTGATGAGTGTCAGGTGAATGGCTGTGGCACAGAGGCAAGAAGTACAGGTGTGGACCCACAGTGCAGTCAGACACAGAGATGGAGACTGGGAACAGTATCTTAATTAACATATGCAGAGGGAGGAAGACTGCCCTGAAATCTCAACCAGTGCTACAAAGAATGCAGGAGTGAAAATGAAAGGGGGAGCCGATGGTGGGTGTCCCCCCTTTTTTTGCAGGACAAAGAAATGCCAGGTGAGGAGGGGAGCCCCTCCGCATATCACCCATACTAGCCTCCTTGGGGCTTCCTTCCCCATCTCTTGGGAGCTACCTGGGGGAGCCAGTACAGGAATGGCTGGAACAGGCTGCCCCCCAACATGGAATACAGCTGGAACTGATCTCCCACCCCCACCTCTCTGAACTTCACATAGCCCACTTTAACCTATGAAAGGCCTCCAACTATCCCTCGATTAGGGGTATGAGAACCACCTGCATCAGGAGTTCTGAGTAGAAATGTAGATTCCTGGGCTCAGCTCTGACCTAGAACACAAGCTGAGCCTTCGTACATGTTGTTCCATAGCCTCCTCAGTGCCTGGAAAAGTGTCCCACACAAGGACAGGGCTCAACAAATTTCTGTGGACTGAATGAATGAACCAGAAACCTCAGGGCTGAGGGCTAGGAACCAGAATTTTTAACAAGTCCTCTAAGTGATTCAGAGGCACTGGTCTGGAACCGAGAGAGGAATTCACATGAAGGACAATAGCTCTTATCACAGGGTTTTGGTATTGTAATGACCTGTCTTGATGCCTGCCCTCCCAGGGGGTCTTTGGGCTCCCAGAGGGCAGAGTTTAGGTATCCCTCATCTCTCTAATCCCCAGCACCCTCACACCAGTCCCAACACAAGTGCACACTTAATGTTAGTGGGTTAACAAACGAACAGTCACAGATTGTCTCAAGTAGAAAATCAGAAAGGAAAACAGATGGAGAAAGTAGAGAAAGGCAGGGAGAATTAGGGAGGATGAAAACCGTAAAAAAATATCAAGGTTCAAAAGCAGGCAGCTCAGAAGTAAGTAATAGCTTAGATCTGTGCGGCCTGCACCTCCCTCACACACATGACCTCAGTTAGCCCACCTTATTTCCCAGGCTTCTAGGTATTATTAGCCCATTTTACAGATGAGATAACTGAGGTTAGGGAGGTCAAACGACTTGCCCAAAGGTGATTCAGCGAGAAGGGCAGGGCCGCGACTGGACAGAAATAAAAGGACCAATAAGGACAGAGATGAAAGCAGAGATGCAGAATGAGTTCAGGACACAGCCAAGCGTCAGAGAAGAGGCCGAGTGAGCAGGAGAGGCCATGCTCTTTCTCAAGAGTGAAGCCCCCTCCCTCCCCTCACGTCCGCCCGCCCCAGCTCGGGCCGAAGGCAGGCTGGGGATCACTGGGCGAGAGGGAAGGGGGGCGGGGCTCACAGCTGCAGGCTCCGAGACCCCGCGGACCGCTCTTGGGGCTGGGGTCTTCCGTCCGCCCCCTAATACTGGCGGGCGGGGGGAGACCCGGGGAGCGCCTCGCCCCTCCCCCTCCCCTGCCGGCTCAAACAAAGGAGCCCCGGCGCGCGGCCCGACCCAGGCGGCACCGCGCAAGGAGCGAATGTCGGGCGCGCGCCAGGTCCGGGAGCGCGCAGGCCCGGCTGGCAGCTCGCCGGGTTCGGCCTGGCTACCTGGGGTTACTGGAGTTCCAGTAGACGGCGTGGCGGAGGCCGGAGCCCGCCCGCAGAGGGGAGCCGAGGAGCGCGGCCCAGAGGACAGTCCGCAGCAGGGGCAGCAGCCGCATCGCCCCCGGGGTCCGGTCTGGTCTGGTCCGGCCGGTCCGGCCCGCTTCCCAGTCGCCGCGAGAAAGGTACAAAGTGGAGGTTGGTGGGGGGGAAGTTGAGGGATGGGGGTGGGGTGCGGCGATCCTCAGGCCACGCCCTGGGTAACTTTTCACCAATGGGGGCACATCTCGGCCTCTCCACTCCGAGCCAACTCTTGTTAACCCTCTGTGCGCGGTAGCGCGCGCCCGGTTAGCCCAACTCCAACCGAGCCTGGATCGCTTCGTGAAGGGGCGGGAGGAAGGACGCATACACTATCCAGGAGTTTTTATTTTTTTAGGGAGGTCGCGTCTGTCGTGTCTGTACTTATTAGAAATCTGGAAGATTTAAATAAGAGCATACACCCTTTGCTCAGAGAAAGGAAAGTGAGGCACGGACGAGGATCCGCGAAGCCTGTCCAGCCACCTTAGCAGATAGCTTTTTTCTTTGCTCATCCAGGGATCCAGGGACAGCGCGAGGGGAAGGGAAAAATCGCCGCTTGGAAACCCTCCACCGCCCTCGTCCGCTTACAGAGCTTTAGGTGGCGAGCTCGATGCCCACCTGTCCTTTTCCGCCCCACACCATCCTTCTGGGCTGGGGCCCATGGGCCCCAGCCCCGAAGACAAGTAATGAGATGGTCGCGGCTTGTACAAAGCACCTTTGTTCCCAAGCCCTCAGGTGGGGGTGGAGTGGGGGGAGGAGGAGGAGGCAGGTGCGCGGTCTAGGGATCGTGGGAGCCGCCGCCCTGCTCCGGGGCTCCGAGAACACCAGCTAGATCCACTTTTTCCAGACACTGGTCATAGGGTGAGGACGTCGAGTCCAGCTGTTTGTCCGGTTTGTTCATAGCCGCCTCCAGGGGCTACACAGTGTTTGGAGGCGAGTTCTTGGCGATTGGGGGTGGCAAAGGGTGTACAACTCTCCGTGATACTGGATTGCGCAGAGAGCTATTCCGGACTGGGTAGAAAGAAGCCTTGAGCATCCCGCGAACACGCGCTGACCCAGCGTGAGACTGTCGCCCTCCCTCATCCCGTCTGCGTCTGAGGCGACAGCGTCTCCTAGCGGCCATACCTGGAACCGCAGCAGTGTCACCTTTCCCTGAGCCGACAAACTCCGAAGGAGGCACGTCCCCCAAGGTCTAAAGTTTATTGCCACTGAGCAGAGACAGGCTGTGCGCACCTCCGTCAGCTCGATTCAGTGCCCGGTCCCTCCCCAAGCCCCTGCGACAACTGCATGGCTGGGTCCCCAGGGCGCTCGCTGCTGGAACTGCGCACGGAGGTGCTGGGTGTCTTAGGATGCCTGTTCCGTAGCTTCCAGACTCCAGCTCCCTCAGTCACTGCGGGAGACTTACGGGGCGTGTCCATCTTTGAGTCCTAAATCCGGGTTGGAGGCAGCGGAACCTCAGGAGAGGTCAGAGGTAGAGCGAGGAGGACACTGCTGGCGGCGGTGGCGCAGGCCTGAGGTCCAGGAAGAGGTCAGAGGTCTCCTTTCCCTAGACCACTTACCCCGCCCACCCAGGTTCAGGACCCCCCCTCGCCGACCTGGAGGGTACCACTGGGGGCGGGATTCCTGCTTCTGGGCCAGGCAGGTCACCCAAATGTCGCCGGTCCTGGGGATTGGCAGGTAGTGGCTTCCTCGGGGGTAGGGGCTTGGCAGGCCCCTGGGACTGAGAGAAAGAAGGCAGGAGGCTGGCTTGGGAGGGGGTGTCATGTTGCCCACTCCCGACTCACTGGTGTTGGGGAACACCAGATTGTCAGGGGTAGCATCAGAGGTCACCTTTGTCTCCAAACCTGTCACCATTAAAGATGCCATTCGGGTACATGCCCCTCCGGCACAGAGAAGGTATCTCGCCAAGGCCACCACTGCCATGGCTACCAGCACCACAGCCCTGGGTTGGGGGAGAGGCTGTGCCCTTCTCTCCCCCACTGTTACCTTCGGGCGTCTCACCACCGGGTCAGCGGGCAGAGGGCGGGTGGGGGGATTGGGTCGGTCAGCCAGCTCAGCCTGAACAGAGAGAGGGGCAGTGACTGTGAGAGCACAGCCAGTGGCGGTGGGCATGCAGTGGTTCTCCCAAGGGGTTCAGGTCAACATGCAAAGTCAGCCGGGGGCAGGAGAGAATGGGGACGTGCACACAGGGCTGGGGAGCATGCCAGCAGATGCCTCTGGGCAGGAAGGTATGGGTATCCAGTTGTGTCCCTGGCCGACTGCAGTCCTGCCAATGACCACCAGATGGTGGTAGAAACCAAGGCGGGAGGCTCACCCTTTGCTGCTTCTGGGGCTCAGTGTCTGAAGGCTGAGGGGTACCCTGGTCCCCAAATGAAGAGCACTGGCAGGGAACTGGGATGAGAACTGCCGTTGGGCACCAAGCCTCCCACCTGTCCTGGGCCAGGGCGGGGCCTGGCCCAGATTTACCTGGAGTCTCTTGGGCACTGGGTCAGGAGGCAGCGGCCTGGAGGGGGGCGCTGGAAAGCCAAGAATACTAGCCTGCTGAGAGAGCAGGAGGAGCAGACAGCACAGAGTTGGGGGTGGGGTGTGGGAGAGGGAGCAGAGAGACAGATGTGGGCAGAGAGGCGTTAGTGCCTAAGGAGGGGCAGCCAGGGCCCCAGGGGCAGTGGGGCTGTGCATGCGGTTATTTACTTGCGTGCAGAAGGGGTGACAAGTGGTGGATTGGGCATGCAGACCACCTCCACACACATGCTCCTGTCCTCAGATCCGGAGGGCTCAGAGCAGGGACACTCACCAGCCCTTCTACACATGGTAACCTGGGCCTCATCAGGTCCCGGCACCCTGAAGGTCATTCTGAGCACACACACCCCTTGCCCTCCAGGGCCACTGCTGGAAGCACTGTAGACCTATCTCTCAAAGCCACCAGGCTGGCCAGCTCAAAGAGCTGAGCAGACCTTCTAGGTGACTGCCCCTCCCCACTCTATGGTGCACTCTGCTTCTCTGCCCGACTCCCCTACTGACTCTTGGGCAATCTGCATCTTTCTCTGAGTCTAGAGCCTTCAATACCTCCCAGCCCAGGGCCCAAACTGGATGCCTGGCCAAGGTGGGGCCCTATCTCCTCTGGCATCTGGGACTTACCTTGACACCTGGCATTAGCAGGGCCCTCTGCGGGGGTCCTGGGCGTTCCGGGGGACCAGACTGGGCTGCCCTGAGCATGGAGAAAAGCAAGGAGAGAGAGGGCCCAGGTTCAGACCCTGTTCTGCACCCATATATACCTTTGTGTGGGATTAACCCTTCGCAGCTCCTTGGAGAGGAGCTTGTGTGTGGCTTGGGCCAAAGCAGAGGTGGGGAGGTAAGTGGATCAGCCTGAGGGAGGCCCCACTCACCCAGCACAGGGGCTCCTGGGGAGAAGTAGCCCTAGCATCCCAGTTGCCCCATGCAGGTCTGCATGTGAGGTGAAGAGTGTGTGTGGCACATGTGGGGAATGGAGGTGTGTGAGTATGGTCCGGGGGCTTTGGGGTCAGAACCAGGGGTCAGGAGCTGCCGAGGGGTTGTGGGCAGGGCTCCAGAGCTGTCTTCCACAGAGCCATTGAGGAAGCTGGTAGCAGGGAGGCTGGTACCTGTATTGGCAGCTGGGTCCCTTGAGTTGGCAGAGTCGCTGGCGTAGGCGTGCACGGTGCCAGTAGCTGGCACCAAGCAGTATCAGGATGACCAACAACAAGAGGCTGAGGGGCAGCCCTGTGGTCAGGGAGCTGGTTGCTGCAAGGGGAAGGCAGGTTTGAAGTGGGCAGTGCTAAGAACTCCACACCCAGGAAGGGGTGGTGGCGGGGGGCCACAGGGACTAATCAGAGTGGTCAGAGAAGGTGGAGGCATCAGGGGTCACAGAGAGGGAGCCAGCAGGGAAGGGGTCAGAAAAAGGGGGGGTAAAGGATGAACCACCTTGCCCTCCCAGCTGCCGCTGCCCCCACACTACCTCTGATGTGGGTGGTACAGTCAGGGGGCGCCCAGCCCTCCTCACAGTGGCAGTGTCTATTGCTGTCGCAGACCTAGGAGGTACAGGATGAGTAGTCAGGGGCTCTGCACTCTGTGGCCGTGTTTCCCTGGCCCCAGCTTTTCAAGATCTCAGATTCCACAGCTGGAAGTTGTGCTGGGGATGATGGGGTGGAGAAAAGCAGTGCTCTGGAGAGAGGGAGTCTTTGTGCAGAGAAAATCAGATCGGACTAACACAGTGGGTGCTGTATGTGTGCACTATATATATTGGACATGTGCTAGAAGCTTTTATACTCATCTCATGTGCCCCAGGAAGTGGGTACTATTATTATGCTCATTGGATAGATGAGGAAACTATGCTCAGAGAGGTTTTAATAACCTGACTCAGGTCACCCAGCTAGGAAGTGGTAGAGCAAGGACTAGAACCCAGGTATGTGTTTCCAAAGCCCATCATTCTCCTCCCTGGAGACTCCCTGCTTCGCTTTCATCTCCCCCATGCCAGCTCACCCCATGCCCATGGCATTTGCTTCGACATTCCTGTGCTCCCAGGAGATCCACGGACTGGCACTGATGGTTGATGCATACCTGCTCAGTGGGGAGAGAAGAGCAAAGACCACGTTCTCACAAAGATTTACTGGTACTGAGGCCAGCACGGCTGAGGCCACACCTACTTTTACAGGTGGAGACACCACGGCTCACGGGATGAGACAGGACTTCGCTCAATCTGAGCTAATGGTCAGAACTCCCCTGAGAGTTTGGGCCTTTTATACCAGTGGATGGTGAGGCCTGGGTGCTGCTAGCCAGTTCAGGTATTCCACCCCACCTGGCCTTGCCCACCCAGGCTGCTCACCAGACCAGGGCCACAGGCCGTGCCAGGCAGAGTCAGGAGGGGCTGGGCCACATCGTTGCCCAGGTCCAGGCGTACCCAGCTGCAGTTCAGCTTCAGCCTGGTCCCATTGGCTTCCAGCATCTCCCAGTGCAGATCCTGGGCTGAGCCCAGCAGAGGCTGGGCCCTACCCCCTTGACACTGGAGTTGCCCACACACGGCATCTCTGGGGTGAGAGAGGAGGGACAGGGTCAGGCCAAGGCTCCCAAAGACCCGAGGAGGAGCCAGGTTTCCTCACTTACCTAGGGGCACAGGACACATAGCTGCCATTAGGGCTGCGTCCACAGCTCCCAAAGGCATCCCCCCGGGTGTTGGCAGTAAGGAGGCAAAGTGGTGTGGCGGGCTGGGCCCCAGGTCCCCAGAGAGCCTGGCACTGTTGGGCATAGGAGGCGCAGCGCCCTTGCATGCATACAGCCTGTCCACCAGCACATGGCTCGCCGTCCCCCAGGCTGACATCGGGGGGGCACTGGGAGCTGTCTCCTGGGCAGAACTCGGGTAAGTCACAGTCCCCTCTGGTAGGGCGGCACTGCCAACCAGCTGGGCACAGCTGTGGAGGGTGGGGGAGCATCAGTGAGGGTGCCAGGGAAATCCAGCCAGGCTCAGAATGGCCCTTTTCACCTGCCCCTGGCAGGTGAGCTCCAGGCGGCCGGTCTAGGCTGTGCCCACCTGGCAGTTTTGACAACAGAGTCCGTCAGATGCACACTGTGCCCCTGGCCTCAGCTGGCAGGTGAAGTAATCACAGCACGGATCAGTGCAGTCCTGAGGGCAGGGCACAGAGGGCTGGGTATCAGCAGGCTGGGCCTGAGAGCCCCCCTCCAGCCCCCATCCCAGAGCCTGAGTCAGCAGGAAGCTCACAGCAAGTGAGAGCTGGAGCCCAACAATGCATGTGCTGGCCCTGCAGACAGGGAGGAGGGGAAGAGAGGAGAAGGGTGGGAGGGCCCCTCGGAACCAGAGCGCTGCTCAGGGGCCTCAGAGAGGGGTAATGAGCCAGGGTGAAGGCACAGAAATGAGTGGGGCGAGGGTTTGGGTGAGGGGCTCACATCCGGGAAGCCACAGTCACACTGCTCGCCGGGCTCCACAAGCCTGTTTCCACAGACAGCAGCCATAGAGGGCAGGCCGGGCAGCTGTTCAAAGAGGCAGCTGCCCATCCCATCCAGGAGGGCTTTCTCCAGGGCCTGTCGGCTGCAGTTGCTGAAGTTCAGGCCTGGTAGGAAGCTGGGGATGGCAGAAAGGAAAACTAGGACTGTGGACCACTCTGTGCCCCAGCCTCAGCCCCTCTCCATCCTGCAGTTACTCACTCTGTGGAGGCCTCCATGATGCAGCTCTTGGCTGGGGCTGGACCTGGACAGGGGCAGCTGTTCCCAGGTGAGTCGTGGTCCAAGCCCAGACTGTGGCCCAACTCATGGGCTATTGAGGAGGCAACTCCCAGGATACTTGTGGAATGGTCCTGTCATTGGGGAGGGGTACCCCAGGTCCAGCACCAGCCTGAATGCTCCTCATCTCTCCTCATCTGACCTCCTGGGTACTCAGCAGTCACCACCGCCCTCAATTGCTTCTAAAGTAGTAGGGGAGCCCAGGCCTGGGTGGCTGTAAACCTGAGTTCTAGTTCAGCTCTGTCCCCATTCCTCACTGTGTGGCCTGGGAGATCACCTGTTCTTTGAGTCTTAGTCCCTCTGCTCTTCCCCCTAGAAATGGGAAGACCTCATATGTAAGGTCTGTGTACACTGGTGAGCTGGCCACAGGTGAGGGGTGCCCTGATAGCAGAGCACCTCTGCCCTCTATATGCTCCACTTTGGGGTATGTAACTTTGTAGGGGTTTCAGTGACCACAGTTGGGAGGAACTGAATTGGGAATGAGGACGAGACCTGAAATAGCTCACCATGTTCACACCTCCTGAGAAGTCAGGAGAGCAGATGGAGTTTTGAATGGCCATGCCCACCCTGGGCCCAGAGAATGAAGTAGCCCTGTGGGATTGAGAAGTCAAAAGTTCAGAGCTGAAAACCAAGGTTCCCAGAGCCGCAGGGCCTCAGGTGGGGAGTTGGGTGGGAAACTGGCCAGGCCAGGGCAACACCAGGCCTGGCTGGCTAAGCTTGCGGGGTCTTACGTCACCAGCTGGGCACTGTCATGGGGCAATCGAGGCAGCAAGTCTGTCCGGCGCCAGCGGAGGAAGTTGCTTAGCGTGAGACCTGGGTCCTGGCTTATCTCCATCAGGTCATGCTGGGTCCAGGCCTCCAGGCCTACTAGCACCACCCGTACATTCAGGGGCCGGAAAAACTGAGAGAGAAGTGGAGCTCAGGATGGGGTTTGCCATGGTCAGGGGGGCTGTGAGGATGCTGCCCAGCCAAACACTCACTGTGTCCAGGAGAAGGGCCACTTCCAGCGTTCTGTTCAGCAGGTGCTGGAAGTCTGGGTACCTCCGGACCTGTGGGTCAAAACAAGTGACAGTGAAGTGGGGCAGGGTAGGCAGGTGTTGCGGGAGCACACACAAAGCCAACACGCTCACCTCGGAATGATCAGCCACAATCACCAGCTCAACGACCTTGGTCTCTGTCACCACATCCCGCCTCCACTGTGGACAAGAAGAAGGAGCATGAGGCACACCCCCTGCTCACTGCCAGCAGCCACGGAGGGCCGACCAAGCTGTGTCCACTCCTGTGCTGTGTGGGTCAAACAGAAGAGAGTGAGGAGCCCATTTTACAGATGAATGAGAGCCTCAGAGGCCAGGGACTTGCCCAAAGTGGATCAAGAAGTAGGTTATGAAGCTGGGAGTTGAGTCCTATTTTTCTGGCTCCAAATTGTGCTTTTTCCAAATTATAAAAAATAGTAATAATAGCCAGCACCATCAAATACCAGATGCCAGTCACAGTTCTAAGCACATTGTATATATACTGGTTCGTTTAATCTTCACAGTAACCCTATAAGGTAAGTAGTTTTAATGTGCCCATTTAATAATTTAGAAAACTGGGTTCTTTATGATTGGTGACTGTATTTTCTACACCCAAGTGAGAGCACTCTGCATATGGAATCATGAGATACATGAGTTTAAGTCAAGTACCTGCATCTAAATCTGGGGTATATCAATTTTTAGTTGAATGGCCTTGGCCAAGTCACTTAACCTCTCTGAGCTGATTTTCTCACTAAAATAGAGCGATTGCTAGTATCTACCTCCCAGGGTTGCTGGGAAGAGTAAAGGAATTCAAGGGCCTGGCCCAGGGAAATTATTCCATCAGTGGGAGGTGTTGTTACTGTGTACAAACAGCTCTGAGGGTTGGGGGACCAGCCCTCCCACCAGGCATCCTCACCCGGCGGGTGTGGTGCTCTCCCAGGGGGTGCTCGGGAGGAACCTGAGTGGGCACAGAGGCACGCCAGCTCAGGGCACAAGTGTGGCCTGGCAGAAGGAGGTCTTGGATCCGGGAGACAACGGGGTTACCCTGAAGGTCCCCAGGCCCCAGCTCCAGGGTGTAGCTTCTTTGTGGGGACAGGATCACCAAGCCCCTAGGAAAAGACAGGAAGTCAGAAAGTTCTTCAGTTCCGTGCTTCGTGCTTCCTCACTTGGTCCACCTTCCCAGGCCGCGCTGCCTTACCTGAGCCCAGAGCAGGTGCAGATGGAGACCTGCGAGTCTGCGTGGCCCTGTACTCCTCCCTGGTAGCAGCAGTTCTCCTACAGCAGAGAAATGCTAGTGCCAACTTGAAGGAGAGGCCAGGATTTGAGCCCAGGAGACTAGCCCATTGGTGAAGGTATGCAGAGTCCTCCAACATCTTCTAGGGATGGCACCCTCCAGTTACCTCCTCCCTTCTTCCCTTAGGCCAGAAACAGGGCACAAGAGGCCCGACTCACCAGAGTGTGTCCCTTACTGACCACACGGGTGCCATCAGGTTGGTACCATACCAGCGTTGGGCGGCCTGGGACTAGATCCCTGCAGAATGAAGAAAAAGGAGGGCAGTGTCAGGGGCTTCCCAGGGTGGTACAGTGACAGCCTGAGGCCTTGAGGTGGACTGGTGGCTGGGAGCCAGGCAGTCCCCCAACCTTCCTGCTTCCCCCAGAGGCAGCAGGGTATAGTGGCTAGGCCACAAACTCTGCCAATCTCTGTGGATTCCAATCTGGTTTTCATCACACCCTAGCTGCGTGATGTTGGACAAGCTATTTAACCTCTCTTTGCCTTGACTTCTTCATTTATAAAATGAGAATAATCTTACAGGGATGTTAGGAGAATTAAATGAGTTCAAGCACTTTGTACGTGGCACATAGTAAGTGCTATATGTAAGTTGTTAGCCATGTTGTTATTATTAATATTACCACTATCATTATTACCTATTCTGTAGCAGCTCCAGGATATGACTCTCACCATCCAATTCCAATTTGATCCTCAAAGCCTCGGGCAGGTTGGTCTGTGGGCATCAGAGGGCATGTCACCTCCCTGGTCCTGCCAAACTCCTAATCCTTTCTAACCAGAAAACCTCGGGCCCTTAGGAGAGCACCAACAATTAGATCACTGGTGGGGGATCCCGAGGGAGGGGCCCGGAAGCCCTGCCTGGCCTGGGGCATTGTTCTGGGGGGTTGTATGGGGAGGTCAAGGAAGGTATCTGAGCCGCCCCTTCTCGGCTTCCTGCCCGAAGAGGAAGCATCATAGAGGACCCAGTGCAGGCCCCAGCCCTTCCTCTGACTCAGCTTTAGAATTGGGGTGGGAGGGAGGGTACTTGGTAGGTCTTGACCCTCTCCAGGCCCCCCACTGAGAAAGCCAACAACATGAGACCAAGAGAGAAGGTTTGGCCTCCGAATTTCCCCACTGGAGATGGATGGGTTGAGTGGGGCTGAGGCCAGCAGATGTGTGTGAAGAGGGGAGAAGGAGGTAAGTGAAGCCAGGTGCTGGGGCATGGTGAGAGAGGCAGCCCTGCGACAGTGAGGTCCACTCACCTGCTCCTCATTCAAGCTTTGCCCTGAGACACTTTAGTCCAGGTGGCAAGGTGGTGGGGGTGTATGTCTTTGAGGGGAGAGAGAAGCTTACCTGAAGCACCTCCGCTAGGCTGAGTGTGAAGTTGTCCTGAAGGATCTGGGGCTCCAAGGACCCACTTAAGGTCCTCTCTGGCCTTGCCTGCTCCTCCTCAGTGCCACCTGCAGAGTCCCCAGGATTTCTCAAGAGTGCGGAGAGAATCAGCGCCCCGGGTGGGGGTGACTGGTGCCCTCTGACAGCCCCCAGCTCCCAGCAAGCACATCAAGGCCTTGCCTAGCTTGAAGAACTACTGCATTGCATGCTGGGACTTAAAGGAGAATACTAGAAGGAGGGGGTCTTTTCTCCAATGTTTTGCTCTCATCCCACCAACCCATCCACAAGTCCCCAAAGAAGTTCAGCTTGCAGAGCCTGTGGCCCCTCTTCCCCCAGCCCAATCCCAGGTTCTCACAGGGACCCCCCTGTTCCCCCTTGCTCCCAATCACAACCCCCAACTCCCAAGAATGCACCCTCAGAGGACTGGGCAAAGCCCCGTGGCCCGGTGCCCACTCACCCTCCCCTTTCCTCACATCGGAGATGCCGGGAACGCCCGTTTCTGGGTGAGCAGCGCAAACAGCCCCCTCCCTAAACACCCTCATGCCCGGTAAGGCACACCCGCTCCCCACAGTCTCTGCTTCCTCCCGGAGTCCTCCTCCCCTCCCCACAATGGCTCTCTCTCCTCCGGACACTCCACCCCGCCTGCCCTCTCGGTCCCCGGCCCAAGACAGCAGCGGGAAGTGAAAGTTCCAAGGAGGAGCTGGTGTCCCAGCCGCTTTCCTGGCCAGTTCTCCCTTCCCTCCTCTCCCGGCTCCTCCCGGGCCCCTCCCGACCAGTCAGGTCTCTGATGGCATCAGTACCAAGGTTAGGAGTGTCGGACTGCTCAGGCCTGGGATAAACGGCCAGGAAGACTCCTCTTCGCCAAACCCTACAAGCCGTGCCCACTCGGTGCCCTGGCACCGGGTGGCACAGTCGGCTAGGCCCTAGAGGAGCGAAGCCGTCAATCTTGGGGAACAGCGACCCTCTCCCACGATGGGGCGCTGGGCCAGGCCCCTCGGTGCCTGGTACAGAAGTCTGGAAGTGTCCGCGGGGACCGCACAGAGGATGACCGGGCAGGAGCGCCGGCGTTCCCCCTCGTTCACTCTCCGCTCCACTGCCCAGTCGCTGGGCCCTCGGACCAGAACAGTAGACCTAAGCGGCCCGCGCACTAGGTGGGGTCTCTGTGGGACCCTAGGAGCCCGACGCCTCCAGACTTCCCTGCACCTCTCCCAGTCCGCCCCCTCCCTGGCCCACTGCCGGCCGCGCACTCACCAATATCTGGGAGCGGCCGGGAGGACGGAGGGCTGCCCGCGCCCAAAAGCCCCAGGGCCCAGAGCAGCGCCAGCCGCATGGCAGCGGCGCCCCGGGCCGGGCGAGGGCAGCAGGTGCTGGGCCGCGCACCGAGGAGCCGATGCAGCCGGGTCTGTCCGCTTTGCTCACCCGGCAGCGCAGCACAGCCTCCAGGCCCGGCCCCGCCCCCTCCCACCAACTACAGCGCCAGGCCCGCCCCTGCCCTCACGAAGCCCCGCCCCCGCCGCGCGCTGGGTCCTAAAGACTCCAGCTCCTCCTCGCTCTGCACCTTCACTTTCACGCTACACAGCAGGGTGGGAGCCGAGGCCGGGTCCGACAGGCTTGGGCGTCGCGCCTCAGCCCTGTCCTGGGTCCGGACCCCTTCCCAGAAGCTTCGTTGCTCTCCTTCTTCGCGTCTGCGGTCCGGCTCTGCGGGGATCAGGCGTCCAGTCTTCCCGATTGCCTGCCAGACAGTGCCCGGCTCACCCTGAGTCCAGACACCTGCAAAGTGTACTAGCAGGAGACTGTGCAAGGCATTTTACTGAACAGGAAGCAGCTGGGTTTGAGAGCGAGTGGACGCCTCTTCACTCTGCGTAGATAGCGTCATCTTCGCTATCGCTGTAGGCGGAGGAGGAGAGCTCCTCGCGGGGTGTGCAGGCCGGACACCGCGCCTGCATATCGTCCCAGCACGATCGACAGTACACTGCCTCGCAATCTGGCGTTGGGCACACGTAGGACTCGGGTGTCTCGGGTGCCTGGCACACCACGCAGCGCCGGCGCAGCCAGCGGCGCAAGAAGGGGCAGCGACGGTGCAGGATGTTCGCCAGGTGGCGGCGCTGTTGGGAGGCAGGAAAGGTTTACAGCCGGTTGGGGAGCGAGACAAGAAAGCGAGCGCGGGGTGGAGGACTGGACAGCGCTTCTCGCCTGGCATCTCAAGGCCTGACAATGCCCACGTATTCGAGGAAGCTGGACTGGGGAAAGACGACCCCTGGAGGGCAAGGGTGCTATGGAAGTGGGTCCTGGAGAGCCTCCCTTCCTCACTTCGTGATGGAGAGTGGAAGGATACTCTTCGATTCTCTCCCTGACAGTAATAGCAACCATCATTTGCATTTTCCTATAAATCATCTTGTTTGGTTCTCACGGTGGGGCTGAGTAGTGATATAAGACTATTAGTACTGTGTTCCCCACTTGTCAGATGAGAAAAATGAATCTCATGAAGGTTAAGTGACTTTCCCAAAGGCTTTACATAGATCGTAAACAAACCTGTATGGACCCAGGTGCCCTGATTCCAAATCACAATCCTGGTTTATAATGCCCCCATCCTCTCTCCACACTATTGCCACCTTTTCAGGTCACCACTCTTTGGTCAAGGAACCACAGGGGCCCCACTGTCTGGTAGAGGAAGGCAGAACTCCTGGCCTCGGCCTTCAGAGCCTTCCACAGTCTGGTCCCTTTCTCGTTTCTGCTCCAACTTACCCCTCCATGCACTTTGCATCTCCTGTGCCAGTTTCTCCTCAGACTAGCCCTGGCACTTGGCATTCCTTTTGGACTCTGAGTCTTTGCACATTCTGTTCCCTCAGCTTGGGATGAATGCCCTTCACATTTCCATCAGCCCATCCACATCCAGTTTACTTCAGGACTGGGTCATGGAATCAGAGTATATTCATTCATTCATCAGACATTCATTCAGCCCTATTGTGTGTCACGGGGATGGGAGATCTAGGCACTGGTGGGGAAAGTTAAGTAAACACAGTCTCACTTTGAGGAGCTTCGTTAGGGCTGATTAAATAGTGGCTGTCACTCACATTTTTAAAAAAATAAATGTTGGGCCCTATACAAAGAAACTGTAAATTAATTAATTCAAACAATACCCATATAAGGCAGATACTGTCATAATCATCTCTCCTTTTTTAGGTGAGAAAACTGATGCTTGGAGAGGTGGTCACTTGCCTAGGGTCACATGATGGCAACTAACATGTACAGAACTTGCTCTGCCTGTACCATGAAAGTGAAACTCATCTAATCCTTATGGTAATGGAGTAGTTAACTCCATTTTATAGAAGGGAAAAGCCAAGACCCAACATTTAACTGCCCAGCATCAGCCAGCTGTCAAAGTAATAAGGGGAGGAGGCAGGATTGAAACCCAGGCTCTCTGCCACCAGAGCCCCACACCCAACCACCATTCTTTACTGATCTCTATGAGCAGACCTTACAGATCTGTCCAGCCCCCCACTCCCCATTCTTTAAAGGGCAAAACTGAGGCCCGGTGAGGACCATGGCCAAGGTTACACAGCTTAATAAGGGAGTGCGGGCTGGAACCTGGTTCTTCCAACTCTGTTCTTTCCCTATATCATATGCCCCTTTGTGAGGCCTCCCTGACCTCCCCTTGGAACTGCAGTGAACTTCTGTTCTGCAGCCCTCTCAGTTGAGCCTGTGGCTTTGCCTTGGGCCCCTTGTTGTTGATGAGCCCCTCTTACTTTCCTTGTGACCAGACTGTATCAAATCTGATTCCCCTTTTCCACTTGCCTCCCAGGGGTCCACTGAGAGTCTTGGGCTGGGCTGAATACTGTGATGCAGAGATGGACACAGCCCTGACTTTCCAGTTGCTGGGCAACCGGGGCCTTTGGCAGGCATCGTGTCAGGACCCAGCGAGCTCCAGCAGTCTGGGACTGTGCTGGGGTCTGGATGGACTGTAGGGAGGTGCCCTGTCCCACAACTTTCCAGCCTATTCAGGAGGCACCGGAGCGCAGGCCCAGACTTACTGAAGCCCTCTGCTGTCGGGCCTGCCTCAGGATGGCAGCCCTTCTCAGCTTGGTGAAGGCTGCTCTCTTCCTCAGGAGCTCATTGTAGAGGAACAGGATCCGCTTCTTCTCTCGCTGGGGCCCAGGAGAGGGGGTCAATAATAGTGACAGTGCTGAGGAGGATAGCCTCCCCTAAAGACAGGGCTGGCAGGGGCTGGGCACGGGCTGGTGTGTGTGCTAGTGCATAAGGGGAGTGAGGGCAGGGCAGGGCCCACCTTGGGGAAGTAGAAGGCTGCGATGACCCTCCGGAGCCGGTAGCCGAAAGCCTGGAGCAGGCAGAGGCTCACTAGCAGACCGACCGGTAGTGCAGCCCTCAAGTAGGCCCCGGCATTCAGGCACACGGGCTGGGGCAGGCAGGCTGGGGGGACAGGGCAGCCCTAGGTTGAATTCACCATCCCAGTGGACGGTGCAGATCAGGTCTCTGATTACCCTGCTCTCCTCCGACCTGCCCCTCCCCCTTTACAGCTGAGCTGTCAACACTGTAGCCACTAGGCCCCTGAGGCTATCTGTTCTGTACGGCACAGATGTAGAAAATGTCCGGGACAGCAGAAAGTTCTGCTGGACAGTGTTGCTCCAGAGGGCTGCGACCTTTTGGCCCCAAGGCTCCAGCCCCCAGACTCCTCTGACCCACGCTTACATCATACAGCTCTTCAGGCCTGACCTGATGTTTCCTGCTTTGATTTCTCCACCCCAAGCCTGCCCACCCCCATGTTGCCACACCCAAGGCCTGGTCCCCCAGCTCTTTGCTTTGGAAGTACCCTTGCCCTCCAGCCCACAAATCCTCTGCTCCAAATGTTCGGCATCACTCACGCATGGTGTTTGACTCCACCACTGCCTCCGAGGAGGTGTTCAGGGCCCCAATGGTTTTCCGAAGGAGTCGGGCAAGCATGGAGTCTCCCCCGACTTTCACCTCCAACTTATGACTGCCTGTGGCCAGAATAAGGGCCATGTGGGAGTCAGGAAGGAGTTGGGGTTCAGGGGAAGGGGCAGGATGGGGAATGTCGGGGAGAGGGCAAGGCATAGAAGTGCTCCTCACAGGACTTCCTGTCCCCTCACTGAGCACTGTCCCCCACCCTGCTGCAGGCAGACAGGGAGTTTAGAGGCTGGGGTTCCCACTGGCAGCTGTCAGGGGCAGGGCTGAGATTTGCCCTGACACAGAAGGAGGCCACGAGATTGGAAGGACTGGGGTGGGGGGGCTGTGCAGAGGGACCCCGGAGCAGGACTCGGGCTCACTGCGGAAGGAGTACTGCCAGAAGGCATGGTGGCGGATGGTGTCGAAGATGGAGTAGAGAGCCCTGTCCAGTCCACACAGCACCAGTAACAGCAGCAGGAGAGGCAGTGTCCCCACGAGCTCCCCCATCTGCCCAGACGGCAGGAGGGGCAGAGCTGGCCAGTGCCGCACGGAGCCCTCTCTGCCGCCTTTGCCCTCCACCCCTCAGATCGTGCCTGTGGCTGGATGTGGAGGCCCAGCCCCATGCCCTCCTTACCACATTTCTCATTTCTGAGGCCTGGAGAGTGGGCTCAAAGGGGAAGATGACCTTTTTTTTCTCAGCTTTGCGGAGTGGCAGCAGAGTCCTTTTGCCCTGGAAAGGAATGTCCTCGCCACAAGGAGCAAAGGCTCTCTCCCCTTCCTCCTCTGCCCTTCTGGAGAAGGAAGCCACACAGGGCACCCGGCCAGGCACCCTCGGGCAGGGCTGTGACCTCTCACCAGCATCTTCCTGCGCTCATCGATCTGACAGAAGTAGGTGCTGATGTAGATGTTGTCAAAGCGGATGTCCCCATTATAGCTGTCCATGTAGGAGAAGGACCTGTGGGGAGGCTGCCTCTGTCCCTCCAGGTTCCCTTCTCCCACCCCCAACCGTGGGCGTCTTCCACTCAGCCAGTGTGCACTGAGCGCCATCTGTGTCCCAGGAGAAGGCTGCCCTGCCCTCCAGCAGCCCCCAGGCCATTGAAAGACACGCACACACAACTGACGAGACACGACAAAGGTGAGAAAGGGTGGCAGGGTGGTGTGAGTGCATGTGTGTGGCGTAGGAGAAGGGTTCCCAGCCTCCATGGGGCAGGATGGAGCCGGGAAACCCCTCACAGTTTCAGGGATCCCCTGATTCATTATGACTCCCATATTCACCTCTCAAGTCCCTGCCTCACAGCTGAGCCCACAAAACATCTCCTGGAAGTCACTTCAAGCAAAACGCATCCCAAACCACCATATCCATCTCTAACACACCCGTGAGCACAGCAGTTTTCTGTGTGTGTGTGTGTGTGATGTGTGCACATGCCTATGCAGCTCTCTTCTGTGTATCTCCCAAAGTCCCACATAACGTGTCAGTTTCTTAAGACAAAAATGTTAATTGTTGGAGATGTGCTTGAAACTGTAAGATTACATTAAATGAGCTCTGTAAACTGTGAAATCTAAGTTCCAATGCTACTAGCTCTGGGACTGTAAAAATCCACATCTTTGCCTTTGAGAACGAACTATAAATGCAAAGCAAGACTGTGAGCGCCCCCTTGTGGAGAGACCTGTCGCTGCTGCGTCGGGGCCTCCAGAGCCAGGGCCCCGCCTTCTCACCAGCTCTGCCCCTTGTGTGGGTGACCTCACCCAGGTTGAAAGCCTGGAAGTGGCTTTTGACTCTGGGCCTCCTTCCTTCCCTCGTTTAGCTGGCTTTGAGAGCTGCGGCACCTCTCCCTTTCCTCCCTCCATCTCAGGCCAACTTCCTGCTGGGCCCCACTCCAGCCAGGCTCCCTCCTAACCTCTGACCCACCTTGGCCTCCCTGCCTCCAACCTGCCTTAGTCCATCCTGCAAACACTCCCCAGTTCAGGGCCCTCCTGAAGGGCTTTCTAGACTGTTTTGGCCGTGCCCACTTCAGGCCAGTGTTCAGCCACAGCCTCTGCCACGCACAGCCCACAGATGCCAGGATCCTCGCCTGAGAGAACGCCCTTCCTCTCCTCGGCCACAGCTCCCATCTGCAGCCTCTTGAAACCAGTTATGGCCCTTGCAGAGACACCTCAGCTTCCACCCCTGTCCACAGCTGGTGCATAACAGAGTGCTTGAACTTTGTGGATGCCTCTCCTGCCTCCCTAGGCCATGATCTTCTTGAGAGTGGGAATATGGCTCATTCATCTTCGTCCTCCCACAGAGCCCTCAACACACACATAGCCACTCACTTGCTGTCACTCTAGGCCCCACAAACAGGGGCAGACAGGGCCAGAGCCCCTGTGGCTGTCCTTGCCCATCCCCTGCCCATCTGGTGGTGGGGACAGGAAATAGAGGGTCCAGAGGTCAGCAAGGAAACAGAGTGAGGCCCAGGGCAGCCCAGCTGGACGCCAGGCTGGGTGGGGTTGAGGACTTTGGTCCAAATGGAGGGAAAGTAGCTGCCAGCGCAGCAGGCGGGAGAAAATGAAAGCAGAATTGGAGGATAAAAATGGCACAAAGTCAGAGCCAAGGGGAATATGAAGGGCAAGAAAAAAATAAAAAGTCAAAGCTTAAAGTAAAAAAAGTCAGCGTTGGGATAAAGGCTGGAAGGAGGTAGATAAATGAAGATGGTCGCCCTTTTAAGGGTGAGAACACAGGTAGTGATTCTTCTGACAAAAAGTCGACATTTCCTTTAATGTTGTGTAAACAGCAAACGCAGCTTAATGAAAAGGCCAAATTAAAGGCACAAGAACATTCACAGGCAGTCCCATTCTTACAGCCTCCCTCGGGGCGGGGCTCCCCTCTGGGGTGGAGGCTGGGGCCTTGGGGAGGGGCCATGGCTCACCCGTGGAGGACGAGCAAGAAGGTGCAGGAGAAGAGCACCCGCAGGAGCCCCAGGGACCACTCCAGACGCGCCTCCTGGCGGCTCACGTAGTCACGCACCTCGGTGCTCACGTGCTTCCAGCTCGTGTTGAGGCCCAGCACCCCAGCCTGCTTCTCTTCCTGGCGCAGAGCAGAGCTGCAGACTGTCTCCCCCAGGCGTCTCTCCCCCGGTGCCCCACTCCTGTTCCCAGGACCTTCAGGATTGCCGCCTCCTTCTGCTTGCCACCCCCCTTGACAGAGTCCGGCCCCCCTGCACCTGTAGGCCTGACACCCTCTCACACCTGGCTGACCAGTCCTTCCCAAAGCCAGGTCCACGTATACCACAGACTTGCCCTCTCCCCTTCCCTGTCAACCGACCGTTGCCCTCCTTGTCTCCCTCCCTCACGTCCAGTCGCCTCTGCCCTGTGCCTTCTCACTTGCTCTTCCTCATGCCCTGCTCCCTGTGCCTGCCCTTCACTCTCTAACCCCGGCCCACACGCCCCTGCTTCCAACCTTGAGTTCAATGGTGGCGGAAAATTCTCCCTCCAGGCTCTGAACAGACTGGTTGAGAGAGTCGTAGGTCTGCCCAAAGTTGCCTTCTACTGGGATACGGCTGCGGCACCAAACTTCCATTGCTGGTTTGTGGGGGTGGGCAGGTCAGGGGCCGCCCTGTGCCTGGCCTCCAGGGCCCCCTTCCCATGATCCTCTGTATCCTGCTTTTTGTCTCTCTGCCCGTGACTTTTCGTCGCACTGAGTCTTTCCCTTCTCCACTCTCCTTGAGTTATTTTTCCCAGAAACAAGGCCTGACTTCCCCCCATTTTTTCATGGTCTATAACCATACCAAATGTTAATAGTCATAGCCAATATTTATAGAGCTATTCCTCTGTGTGCCAGCTCTGTGTGTCATCTGCTCCACACTTATTATCCCCTTAAATCCTCAAAAACCCTTAATGGGACAAGTACTTTTATTATGACCATCTTTCACATGAAAAGATGGAGCTCCAAGCCCGGCTGTAAACTCACCCTGGGTCAAGGTCAGTCAGTGCAGGGGCTGGCTCTGAGGGGGCTGGGTCTTCTGAGCCTAAGTCCTCACTGCCTGATTGCTTTCCTGCCCCACAGGGCCCCAGTGGTCCCCAAGGACTCAACATCCTAGCCCCGGTGTGCCCCACCCTCCTGCCACTGAGCTCACCCTTAGCAATGCCACAGAAGAACTTGAATTTCATGGGCAAGCAGAGCAGGTGGTTGAGGAGCGGGACCCAGATGCGCTGCATGCACTGTTCATGCTTTTGGTCAAACCAGCGGCGGCAGCTGAGCATGGCCTGGTTCACCACATCTGTGGGAAGGCACAAGGAGTGTGAGGTCCCCATGCCCTGACCTGGAGTGCTGGCCCTGTGGCCCACCCACCCTGCCCTGCTTGGGGACCCCCCGACACTCCTCACTGGAGCAACGCAGCTTGGTCTTCAGCTCATACATCTTCTGTGTTGAGAGGTGGTGTCTGGAAGCTAGGGCTCGGGGGGTCTCTGCCTCTTGGGCTGTCTCCTCTGAGCCCATGGCGTCCTCTGGTGTGTAGCCAGTCTCACTATTCACCTGGGCATCCAGGTCCTCAAAGGAGTTGGAGATGTTATGAGTCTCGGCTTTCAGTAAATCTTTGCTGCCCTGGAATTGGAAGTGGGGAGGAAGGGGCTCAGGGATGGAAGCTTAGAGCTTCTATCTAATAGCCTGTCCTCCCCTCACCGGCCAAGCTTTGGACTCTTACCTCAGGCCTGTAGGGAGCTGGGCCCTGAGACAGCCTCGTACCTCAAATACTCCACAGTTCATAGTCCTCAGGAGCCCTCACTTCACCCCAGTGCCTCTGCTCTGCTCTGCTCACCTCCCAGGCTCCCAGCAACTCAGACCTCCCATCCCAGATCCTTGCTAGTCAAGGTCGGGCTCCCTAGGTCCTTGGATTTCACCTCTCATCACTAATCTCTCAGACCACTGTGCCATCTCAATGTCCCTAATTCCCAGACCCCTGAGCTCCTGTCTTGCCAACTTCTCAGCTCTCCCAAACCCTGAATCTCCAGTCCTCCAATACCTAATTCCCTGATACCCTGGTCCTCAAAGCTTCTGAACTCTTCAAGGCCAAGGCTCCCAGTTTCCTGATATTCTAGTTCAGTTGCTTAGAGAAATGCCTACTCAGGTGTTTGGAAATGTGTGTGGGGCATGTCCCAATGACCGGGGTGGGAGGCTCTCCTGACATTTAGTGCCCAGGGACCAGGGCACATCTAGCAATGTTTGGGGACAACCCTGCCAGTAGTACCCCCCCACTGGGCAACTGCAAGTCCAGGGTCACAGCTCCCAGCTCAAGTCATCAAGGCCCCCAGGGAGAGGGACCCCTGGGCCTTGCCCATGCAGGGTCCTGACCAGCAGGTCCTTGAACACCGCCCGTAGTGGGGCTGTGGAGATGCGCCAGGCCGCGCGGGTACTGTTGATCTGCAGCTCCACAGTGCAGCCCAGCGATGCTATCACCTCGTTGATGTTGTGCCGCAGGTTGGCCACTGGTCCTGGGGGAAGAGGCTCTGATGGATCATCTCCCTCTAGAGCTAATTAACTTTTCTAAGCCCACCCTCAGCTCCTGCTCTACAAGCGGTGACCACCTTCTAGAACTGTATAATCATGCGGCTCTGAAACCTGTGAGAGGCCATCTTGTTGAACCCCCAATTTTTTTTTTTACCTGTGAGAACTACAGAGGCCCAGAGATGAGAAGGAACTCTCTCAGGGACACACAGCAAGTTGGAGCAACTGGAATTAGACTTGTACTCTTTCTCCTTCACCAAGCCTGGCTCTCATTGGATGGCCCACCCAGGGCCACTGCTTCAGTGTCACTAATTGGTACCCAGGGGCACAGACTCACCCTCATAGATAGCAGCCAAGGCATATCCCATCACAAAGAGCCTGCCCTCTTTGCCCAGCATCTTGGGTACTAGCAGGAGGCTGGCACAGCGGATGTGAGGGGAGGTCCCCCAGCCAATGGCCCCCAAGCCTGTCAAGAGAGTACAAGGCGAGGGAAACGAGGAAGCTGCCTTGTCCACCAGGTTTACCAGAGCACTCATCCCCCGCATCCCTTTCTAGAACCTTCACCATACTGCCCTTGTCTCCATTTACACAGAACCGACTCTGATGGCATTCTGCGCCACTCATTTATTCATTTATTCAACAGCTCTTTACAGAGTTCAACTGTATGGCAGTCTCTGGAAGGACTTGGAGAGATGGCTAGATACTGAAAAACTACGGCAGTCATCAGCTGTGTGTGTGTATTTGAGCGTGGGTGTTTACGTTAGGGAAGGGGGCCAACACTTCCTGTATCCAGGCTGGATTCACACTTACCCTTGGTCCTGAGGGGGCAGAGGGAGTAAGAAAAACATTCTGGAAACAGACACTGGTGCTCAGAGCGATTAAAGGGGAAGCCAGAGCCACCTCAACATGCCCCATATCCCCCATGCTGTGATGCCTGCAGCCCTCACAATCTCTGTCCATCGTTTTAGCCCTTGGTCAAGTACCTCCCGGGATGTTTTAGTAGTTTCCCATGTGTCTCCCTGTGGTCTGCAAGGAGACAGGGAGCTCCTTGAAGCTCATAATCCAGGGAGAGCGACAGACGAGTAAACAAATGACTATAACACAAAGTGCGAAGTGCACAAGGGAGGTGCTTATGAAGAGCTATGGGAGCTGAGGAGGGAGTAGGTATTTCTGCAGGGAGGGGTGGAGTTGGGAAGGCTGGACAAAGGAGATGTGTCAGCTGGGCCTGGAAGATGAGTAAGTGTTAGGAGGCACAGGCAGCATTCCAGGCCAAAGGAACAGCGTAAGCTGGTTGGGGAATCTAGAAGCTTCCCATGTTGACAGCATGCTCCCCCAAGCATCAGCAAAGCAAGCCCCATGTCCTTAACGCTTCCTTTTACATCCATTTCCCGCATAGAGTCTCCCGGGGACTAACTGGTCTTCTACGTTGTGTCTTGCTAACTTACACTTTAATTATCACAAGGCAGCCAGAGTGACACTGTTAAAACTTAAATCAGACCATGTCCCTTTTCTGCTTCAAACCATCCAAAGACTTCCTACCACATCCAAGATAAAATCCAAACTCCCTTAACATGGCCTGCAGACCCTCGGGCTCCGGCCACTGCCTACTGTCTGAAGGGATCTCATTCTGCCCAACCCTTCACCAGCCAGGTCAGCGCCCCCAGGCCCTACTGCTGCCCCCGGGACAGCCTAGCTCACTCCTCCTTTCAGGCCTTGGCTTTCACTGGTCACGCTGCCAGGAGCACTACTGCCCTCGTTCTTCACCCGGCCGGCTCCACCTAGTCATACAGGTTTGCCACAAACCCTTTCGGGTGCCACCCAACAGTTTTTCTGCCTTCCTTGCTAACACAGCTTGGGTTTTGTTCAAGGGTAATGGCCTGTCCCTGCCCTGGCCCCCAGGGGTAAATCTGGATCTGTCTAACCCAATCATGGTATCACAGGATATTGAAATGGGCTTGTTCTATAGTCTCGGACTTTTGGCCAGACTCAAGTCGAGGACAACAGTTGACAAAAAACAGTTGGCCTATGTTGTAAAGAGAGCCCCAGATATCCTCTCTGGGCTTACCTAAAGAGCACCACTAATCTCTTACCCCTCTACCCCAACCAGTCTGTATAAAGACAAGACCAGAAATCTGAATTTTCTAGAAGGGGAGAGAAGTGGTTTGAGTAGGCAGACAGCAGGAGGAGGTCTGAGGCAAGGGTGAGTCTTCACTTGCCCATGTCACGTGAAAGACTCCAAGAGAACCCTCCAGAGAAGGCAAGCTGGCTCACCCCTTCTGGGCTGGACTCCTGCTGAGCTGAAGGGCCTAGTAGGGCCCCTCCTGGGCTGCTACCAGAGCACAGAGTGGGACGGGTGTTCGTGAGAGCGCTCAGGAGCGACTCTCCAGGAGGCGCCCGGGGGAACCTGACCAGGAGAGTGGCGCTTGCTTCTCAACGCCACAGGGGAGAAGGCAGCTGCAGGGTGCCCTGCTGTCCCAGTCTGGCAGGACAAGGATGCATGCATTTCCTCTGGGACAAGAGGAAATGCTGGAGGGCAGCAGGCCTCAATCCATCTGTGAGATTCTCCATCCCAGGGGGCAGCCTGCTTGCGGGGAGGGATCCAAAGGAAGAAGCTGCGGGTGGCCCAGGGAGCTACAGGGAGCTTGACTCGAGGTCAGCCGAATAGAACTGCCCTCAGCAGGAAACTGGGTACTGCAAGGTCCACACAGAGCCTCTGAAGAGCCCCTAAATGGCCCCCTGAGACAATCAGGGTGTGAACACTTGCCACAAGAGGCAGTGGAATTATACCAGTATCGATGACTTCAGACTTTTGTCCCTTTTCCTCTAATTCTTCTAATCCCCTTTCTGACATCAGAAGAACCAGAAGGGGAAGGAAGTGGAGAAGAAAGTGAAGGGGCAGGCCATGCCCCCTTCTCTGCTCAGGACCCCATGCCAGGGATGGGGCCTGAGCTGGGTGCAGGGGCGGTGAGGAGGGAAGATAAGCTTGAGAATGGACATGAGATTGGAATTTTGAAGCAGATGGGATTGGACCTTTTGAACCCTAAAAATAATCCTTATTACTGAAGCAGAACTCAGTCTTCTCAATGAAATAACCAGAAAGCTAAGGGTCTGTGTGAAAGGTCATCAATGGGAGAACAGGTGTGAATACAGCGGTCAGGGTAAAAGCTGTTGGTATCCCATGGAGGTCAGTTCAGTCAGTAACCTGGAGATGATGCCAATTCTATGCCCCTTGCCTGGGAGAGGGTTAGGAAAGGGCATGTGTTGCAGTTCTGACTAAAGAGGTGTGAGGGGAAGTTGGCCAAGGAGATTACAGGGAAGTTTTCCTTGTTCTTAAAAGGGACTTGAGGAAGGAATGTTCTGGTCTTTGCCATTGTTGTATGAAGACGTGATACCTGGATTTGCTGCAGCCATTTCTTGACCTGAAGAGGAGTGGTTGACAGGCCAAAGAGGGCAGGAGAAAAGAAGGCAAAAGGAACCTGGGTCCTTGGTAGGTTTACTGAGCTGCTGAATTCTCCAAACTCCAAAACCACTCTACTCTGAAACTTGTCATATGAGATAATCAACCTTCTCTTGGTAAAACCACTTTTAGGTGGGTTCCCTGTTCTTACAGCCCAATGCCTCCTGATACAAGGTCACCTTCTCTGAGGAGCCTTCCCTGACCGCTCAAGCTAAAGTAGCTCCCAGTGCCTTCCTATCATATCCCCCTGGCACACTTTTTTCATATCACTTGTCACCATCAGAAATGCTCTTGTGTATTTTTGCTCATTTATTGTTTAAATGTTCACTTACTGTCTACTCTCCATAAGATGTAAACTCCAAAAGAGCTGGGTGGTTGTCAGGCTTATTCACTGCTGAATCCTCAGCAGGTGCTTAGTTAGCGTGGAATGGATGAATGAGTTGAATTTATCAGGAAGAGCAGGAAATAAGGCCAGAGAGTTCAGGAGAGATGGGGGTCATGAAGGGCTGTGGGTCTGGACCACATCTTGAGGGCAGTAGGGAGTCCCTCAGATTGGGGAGGCTCTAGAGGGCAAGGACTGTGTCTTCTTCCACAGATGGGGCCTTTTGCTCTGGGTCTGCACTCAAAGCCAAATACCAGGCCAAGGCCACATGGGGTGCTTGGGTGCAGAAGAACATGCCCAGACCCCTTCCTGGGAACCTAGCGCTGGGCTGTGCTCCACAGGCCTCTTGAGTGTCCCTGACCTTATTAGCGTTAGTCCAGCACTAACCCACCAAGCCGTACAAAGTCATCATCTTCTGCTCTTCATAGATGTTCATAGGGTTCACCAGGAGCTGAAAGAGACCTGAGGGCACAGGGTTAAGTCAAAGGTCAAAAGTTGGGTCCCACCCCAACTCTGCTCCACACTCACCTATGGCCAGGAGCCCCCCTGTGCCTGCCCCCAGCAGGAAAGCAGTGACTGGAAACTGGCCTGGCTGGCGCCACAGGAATCGGCTACAGAAGACAGGCAGCCCCCAACTCAGGAGCCTCTGCACCGCTGAGGAGTTGAACAGTTAAGCCCCAGTAAGACCAACATCCCATTCTTCTGGCCGGGATGTGGTTCATTATTAGGATTAGGGGCTTGCAGCGGGGGTAGAGGTTTGGGGAAACTGGGGAGGGTGGCAGGAACTTGGGGGGTCCTGACGGAGGAGATGGGCGGAGATGAGAGAGAGGAGAGAGCTGGACTGGAGGAGGGCGTGGGTGGGAGGGGCGGAGGCGGGGAGATGTTGAGGAGGGCGGGGTCTCTAGTGACAGACTCACTGGTGCGGGGTGGTTTCCTTGTTTGCCCCTTTGCTCTGTTCTGATGACGTGTGATGTCCATAAGTCTGTTCTGGGGAACCCTCGCTCATTCCACAAGTATCTCAAGGATGCCCTTGGACATGAGCTGCTTCTTTCTCCTCTGCCTCACCACAGCCTGTCTGAAGTCTGTGTCTTTCAATCCCTCTGCTCTGAGATAGGAAGGAGACTAGAGACCTACCTATCTCTTTCCCAGTCTCTGCTACAGAGTAAGGAATTCTAAGATACACACAGTCAAAGCCCTCCGGAACCTTAGAATGTGGTGAGAAGTTCCAGGCCCCCTGTAGAGCCACAGAACCTGGTGGGCATCTCCTGGAGACGGGAAAACATTTGCTGTCAGCAGCCATGTCCAAAGTCAGGAAAGATGTTGTGCGCTCCTTGGGGCCAGAGGAGCCGAGCACGGCGCGGGCTGTGGTCCGCAGCATGGGGGCCTTCATGCTGGGCTTGTCCTTGGCCACGGCCTACGGGCTGCTGGAGCTGCTGGTGGAAAGGCGCAGCCCCTGGGGCTGCCTGGTGAGCACTCTCACTCTGGCCGCCTTCCTCAGCCTGGGCATGGGTTTCTCCCGCCAGATCCGAGTCACTGTCTTCCTTCTGCTGCCCCAGGCCTTCTCCAGTGAGCTCACACCCAGGGGAGGGGACAAGTCCTGGGGCAGGGGCTGGGGCAGGGGGATCTCAGGGAGGGGTTATTCTGGTTATTCTGAAGGCTTCTGGAAGAGACTGGGGGCAAGGCTGGGGCCCTGTTCTGATGGAACGGTCTCCTCCAGAGCAGAGCCGGACACTGCTGTTGGTGGCTTCCTTTGGGCTGGTGCTGCAAGGGCCCTGTGCCAACACGCTGCACAACTTTACCCGTGCCAGCGAGGCTGTGGCCTGTGGGGCAGAGCTGGCCCTGAACCAGACTGCCGAAATGCTGGAGCGGGCCCAGCAGCCCCTCGTCAGTAAGCTCCCCCACCCTGCCTGGCCCCCTGTGCCCTTGTCCTGCGTGTTCTACAGTCCTGTTGTTTCATTCTTCCCTGCTGGTACTGGGCGCTGACCTCAAGGCGCCCGCTCAGACCCTCTTATCCTTGCTTTCCGGACTGCTCCTCTGCCACATTAACTACCTCCCAGACGGTAGCATCCAGGCTTCCCTCCTCCCTGGGGGCAGACCCCCTGCACTCTCTACCAGAGGGGCAATGGTGAGAAACAGCCCCTAGAGGAGGAGACCCTACAGTGCCTCTGTCCCCTGCTTCTCAGGTGCTCTGAACAAGATTAAAGCCATTGCCCAGAAGGCCAAAGAGGTGGCGGACCGGATTCGCAAGTTCTTTCGGTCAATCATGGATAGCGTGAAGCATGTAGGTCAGTACATTTGCATGTCTGCGTTTGGGTGGGGGGGTCAAAATTCACCCAGTCTCCCTTACCCTTTCCTGTCCAGGGCTTTGTGAGCCCCTCCTGGGTGCTGACTAGTCCCCACTAGTCGTATACAGCACAGCCAGGCCCCTGACTACAGGCTTCCGTGGCCCCAGCCGTTGTGCTGGTGTTCCCCAGCCCTCCAAAAGGTGCTGCGGGGCCCTGGCCCTGAGTACCAGCCCTGCGGTCATTCTCAGCCAGGGCCCTGAGGAATGTGTGGTCCTGGCTCCTGCACATTGGTGATGTGTGCAACTCGGAGCTGGGGAACCCTTACTTGAAGTGTGCGCGGATCTTCGATGACGCCAAGGACAACTGCATGAAGGTCATACCGCAAGCCTACCACCTGTGTTATGTGCTCATGCCCTTCAAGCTGGTGCTCTGTGGACTTGCTAGCGGTGAGCCAGGGGCCTGCAGTCAGGATTAGGGGTCCAGCAAATGTGGGGGCCAGTGGAAGGGTGGGGCCAAGGGGCAATGAATAGGGGACCAGTAAGGATGCTGGGCTTCGAATGGGGTGGCGCGGGGATAGGGAGGAGTTGGTGTGGGGGGTGAGGTAATGGGGAGAAGCTAAAGGGTTTGGAATCAGTGTGGAGGCCGGTAGGAAAAGTGAAAAGTTAAGAAGGCCCTGGGGCCTGGGCTGCATCTCTGCGCCCCTCCTGACACCCGGCCTCTGGCTCGCAGTGGTCCAGGTGTTCTGCATCATCCCCAAGTACATCCAGCCCTTCCTGCGCGAGACCATTGTCACCCGTGAGTGATCCCCTCCTAGCCCTGCCACCTGCAGTGCTCCGGGGCAGTCTCCCCTCGTCACCAGCCTGGGAGTGTTCCCAGTCCATAGGCGAGAATACAAGGGCAAGAAAGGACCTCAGGAGGTTATCCGGGCTAAGGTCCAGCCTGTACAGATTAGGAAATTGAGGCCCAGGGACGGGGAGGTACCTCACCAAAGCTAGACCCCAGAGCAGGGGCTTAGAGAACCAGGGCCTCCTGGCCCCAGGGCAGGTCAACGGGATGTTCACTATGGTGTCACGCTGATGCTGAGCATGCGGTGGCATCGACTGGAGGCTTTGCCCCCTCCTCAGTCCATGGGTTCAGATCCTGGGTGTTCCTGGCTGTGAGCTGTGTGACCCCTGGGCTGTGCAGGCCCCTCCCCAGCTGCACCCCTGCTGCCTTCTAACTCCCCTCGCTCACATCTCCCTGGCCCTGCTGGCCCCAGCTGTGATAAAATTGATAGACCGAGTGCGTGAAGAGTTTGAGTTCAACGTGACAGCCACCCACTACTTCTCTGTGGATCTCAGTGCCTCTCGGAGCCTGTCCCAGGTAGCTCTGGACCTCCAGGAGGCTGTCAGGATGAAACTGCACCGCATTGGAGAGGCCCTGACGCTGATGGGCTACGCCACACCCCTCCTGCTCGTGCTGCTCTATCTCCAGTGAGAGGCTGGACGGCGGGTCCGGGGCTCGGGGAGCGAATGCTGCTGGGGAACAGCGCATGCCCGGGTGTCCTGGGAGACTGGAGTTTCAGGGAGCGGGTGGAGACTATGGTGCCCTATGGGGTTGGCTCAGGGGTGCTGAGGGTCTTCACATGTGCTCCACCAGAGCCCTGTTTTACTGGTACTGTTACCTGAACCTGGACAGTTACGACAACATCTACATCACCGGCCGATTCCTGCACATGGAAGCTGTCCGCTCCAGGGTGGGATTGCCCACGGTGCTACCGCTCAGAGCCCATGAGACCAGATACTATATCCAGCCTGGTGAGGGACTCTGTGGGGGCCTAGGGCATCCGCAAACCCCATTGCCTTGACCTTAAGCCCAGTGCACAGGCCTGGTTTGGGCAGGGCCAGATGGAGAAGAGATAACCATAATCTTAAGGAAATTTCAGGCTGAGGGAGACACAGCCCTGTCCTTGGGGTGCCCTCAGTCTGAAAGAGGAAAACAGGGATGCTCATAGCATGCAGACAGCAAGAAAAGGGGCTGACGAGGCCTCTGGGAGCCCTGGAGTGTCAGGAACAGAGGTAAGGGTAGGTGGGAGTAGATAAGGAGCAAGGGAAGAGAAGGCACTGGGGGTGGGGGCGGAAGCGTGAGTGTACAAATGCACAGGAGGTGTAACCTGGGGGTGCCAACTGGCTGTGAGGCACGGGCCAGGCAGGGGGTCGGGTGCCCCAGGAGGGAGGGTTCCTAGAGCTTGGAAATGGGCCACTGGGCCCAGGTGGACATGCTAGGCCTCCACCTCTAGGCATGGAGTTCCTGCCCATGAAGAATGCTTCCCACCCTCACCCCAGGGTCCTCACAGCCTCCACATCTTCCAGACGAGCAAACAGGCCCTGGTTGATCAGGGGCAGGAGCCCCCTTCAGGAGGGAGATCTCAGGACCAGGGGCTGGGGGGTGGGAGAATTGGGACGCATTCTCCTGACCTTCCCATCCCCCACCCAGGCTCCATCTTCCTGTCTCACCGGGAGCAGATCGTTTATACCCTGGCGATCTTCAGCCTTATCAAGCACCTCCTCCTCGTGCTGCTCCTCATCTTCCTGGACTATGCAGTCTTTTGGGTGCTTGACCTGGCCCGCTACCAGCTGCAGGGGGAGGTCGTGGCCCGCAGTGAGCACCTGCACCTCCCCGACCCATCCCCTGCCCTTGGGCTGCTGCTGCACCCTCCCCATCTTCCTCAATCCAGTGAATGTTCCCATGTCACTGTTACTCACACCAGCCCCTGAATTCTCCCCTTTTCCAACTCTACCCTCCGCCTGATAACCCCTGAGTCCAGTTCAAGATTACACACTAATGGTGTAGTTAAAAACATGAGTTCTACAGCTAGACTGGCCTGGGTTCCGATCCCAGCTCGGACCCTTCCTAGAAGGTGACCTTCCACAAGTTGCTGAGCCTCCTGAAGCTTCAGTTTCCTAATCTGAACAACCGGATAATAATGGTGGCAACCTCTCTGGGTTGCTCTAAGGAGTAAACATGCATTGAGTGCTGGGTAGACCACTGATGAAAGTGTGCCACAAAGCACGAGATCTAATTAATCTGATCCTGTGTACAGAGGTCCAACTGAGAAAGTAAAAAAATACCCCAAACAATCAATAAAACACTTAGTCTAGTACCTATGACACAGTTAGTGTTTAGCAAAGGCTTTACAGTACATGCCTCTGGGTGGTCGTGGAGTCAGGGGATGGAATCACTGACCATTAAGGTAATTTCAGATCTGGTGGCCTGAGCAGGCAGACCTGTGCCAGCCAGCTCTGGACCATGGAACCAGGTGCCAGGGGCTGCAGTTGGGGCCCAGGACACCCCAAGGGTGCCTGGGGCATCACAGCATGGCACCATCTCTGTGACCTGCACTGCCCTGTTCTCCACCTCCCAGGAGGTGCCCCTCACACACTGTCTTGGTGCCAGGCCCTGTGGTAGTATCCATAACCGTGGAAGGCACTGGCTACACTGGGAAGATTTACCGTGACCTAGTGTCAGCATTTGATGTCCTACAGCAAGGCAACGTCAGTATCTTGTCCCGGCGCTGTCTCCTGCAACCCTCGGAGCCGGACACCACTGGTTACACAGTTATTGGTATCAGCCACATCTCTGGGGGCACTGGGGAAACAGACACCATTCAGGGCATTGGGGCACAGGGATGTGAGGGATGTGTGGCTGGCAGCCTGTGCCCGCTGGCTTTGGCTTACTGTCTCTGTTGTGTCCCCAGGCATCCTGTATGGCCTGTGCTTCTTTGTTACTCTGTTTGGCAAGTATGTCAGCCGGCTGCGGCGGGTCATCTGTGCCTCCTACTATCCATCCCGGGAGCAGGTGAGGGGTCCACCGCCAGTCCCTACTTCCCTCCCCAGGATTCTAAGCTTGTGGCTGTCTGTCTTGGTTTTGGGGAGCTTGGCGTCCTTCAGCAGCCCCAGCCCTCTCTCCTCTGGGTGAATCCCAGAGCAGATTACCACGAAGTAGGTCTCTGGACCCCAGGGGGCGCTGGGAGATGTGGTGCCTCTTGGAGCAGAGCTTCCTGAGACAGAGCTCGCTGCCAAAGCTTGGCTGAAACCGTGGGAAGCTGGGGCACCGTGTGTGGTGAGGTGCGAATGGAAGCTCTGACGTTTGTTTACTCATTTACAAATCATTTACTGAGCATCTATTGTATGCCAGTCACTGAGCCAGACACAGTCAGGAGCTCACAGTCTTGAGGCAGGCCAAACAGGCTTTTAACAAGACATTACAATTAAAAAATGGGTTTGTTTTTAAGGAATGAATAACATGCTGGGGAAACTCAGAGGAGGCAGTAGGTAGGTAATCCTACCTGAGCAAGTCCAGAAGGCTTCCCAGAGGAACAGGCGTTGAGCCAAGCCTAGAGGGATTCACAGGAGTTGGACAAAAGGCAGAGGCTGAAGGAGTGGGGTGGGTGCAGAGAGCAATTCCAGGCATGTGCAACAGGACTAAGGGGACTCCATCCCTGCTCTCCCTGCCACCAGGAGAGGATCTCCTACCTCTACAATGTCCTTCTGAGTCGCCGAACCAATCTGTTGGCTACCCTGCACCGTGCGGTGAGGCGGCGGGCAGCTGACCAAGGCCAAATGAGTGTCCTGCAGATGCTGGCCAGGCGGTGAGCCCACTGTCATTCCTTATAGGAGTGGGTGAGAGGGGACAGAAAAGGAGCCAGAGGTCAGAATGGATCACTGTCCCAACTGACTGTCCAGAGGTTTAGTTGAACAGGGTGCCTATTTCATGCCATTCAGGCACTGAGAGGGAGAATTAGGGATAAGAATTCTTAGGGATGGGGAGTGAAGGAAGAAGGACAGGAAACAGAGGTTGTTGCAACAGTCAGAGGGATGGAAGTTAGACTGCAGAAAGGCCTACCCTTGGTTTGGAGGGTGGCGCTGGAGATGGGGAGGTCTAGGTTGGCTGGGCTGGCCTGCTTGGTATCTGGGACCACTCTTTTCAGGTGCTCCTGCCTGGCTCCATTTATCAGCCACTTCGGGCAGCCCCAGACCTACTGCCTGGGCTGTGGGCAGCCCCAGGACAGTGAGGACGTGGAGAGCTCTGTGTCCTGCAGTACCCCAGGCTGCCGAGGTGGGCCTCCTGGGGAGCATGCCTCTCCCTGAGGGGACTCACCTCATTTGTGTCCGACAGTCACCTGTGATTCTTCCTTTACGGACTTGTCCTGTACCTCACCTTCTGCACCCCTCCCTCCCTTCAGTACTATAAATGTTCTCATTTACAGAGAACCCTCGGGTAGCTCTTTTTTCCCTGTGTTTGCCTTAATTCTCCCATGTTTGAGCAGAATAGATGCATGTGGCATTACAGCAATTCCTTAGGGTGCACCGCTTGCCCAGGGTGGTCCCCCCAGGAGTGGGGTGGGGAAGGCAGGCGCTGGAAGCCAGGGGGCGCAGTGGATGGGTAGGAAAGTTCGAGCTCACCTCCTTCCCGCCGCCCCCGCCCCGGCCTCTAGGTCTCTTCTGCCGCACCTGCTTCCGCCTCCTGGACAACACCTGCTCTGTGTGTGCAGCTCCTCTCTCCTACCAAGGCAAACTGGACCTGGAGATGTGAGTCTCCAGTGAGAGGGGTGACTGGCTGGAGTCTGAGGGGACAGTGGGAGCAGTCACCCCTCCCCCAGGTCCTCTGTGGGCCGCTGAGCTAGGAAGCTTCTCCAGGGACTCCAGTGACGAAGAGGACCCCCGGCTGTGGCTGGCCGCTGCTCGCAGAAAGGACCCAGAGCAGGAGGTGTTACTGCGGCAACAGCTCCAAGAAGCCCTGGGCAGAACCCTTTCAACAGAGTCCAGCTCTGAGTTCAGGTGAGCAGAAAGCAGGCGGAGATGGCGCCGGGGAAGGGAACATGCTCTGTCACATTTACAAAGGGTTTCTTGGGTGCCTGGCCCTCTGCTAGAGCTGGAGACAGAGATGAATGGAGGGAAAGGAATGGAGGTTTGCCGGGTGCCTGCTCTGTGTCAGCACCCCTTCCCTGGAGGAGCCCGTAGCATGGTGGCAAGAGTGACATCAATTAGATAAGTGACAGCGGTGGCGAGAGCAGCACAGACAGACTGCCAATTTGCGATGGGGATCTATGATGAAAGCTTCATAGAAGAGGTGAAAAAAGGTGGATTTGGGGGCAACCTGGTGGTTTGTTAGGTTGAGGAGCAGAGGAAAGCATCCTAGGGGAGGCCTGTGTGAATTTGGAGAACGCGAGACATTTAGGAGCTTAGTGCCTAAGGTGCGGATGTGTGTCCGGGTGGAGACCTCAGAGGATGCTGGGAGATGAGCGTGGACGTCAAGATGGGGAGAGATGAGACAGCCTTAATTGTCATTTGAAGATCCTTAGTCAGAAGGTGACAAGTTCCTATTTGTCTTTGAGGACAAGAAGTTAAGAACACAGTATGGAGGCTGGTAGGAGCCAGGGGATCAGAGGGGAGGCTGTCGTGGCTCAGGAGAAGCTGGTGCAGCCTCAGGATTGAGGTGCTGAGGGTGACCAGGGGTTTATGTGAGACTGGGTGGGTGCTAGGATGAGAGGCGTGACAGGAAGGAGGAGTGGCCCACATGGAGACCTTTGTGGCATCTGCAGGGAGTCCAGCTGGAGATGCCTAGGGGACAGTTAGAAAAGGGAAGAGCTCTGGGTCAGAGGCATAGTTTGGGGATTGCCAACCTAGAGACTAAGAGAGGGGGAGCTGGAGCATTCTGGTGGAGGGCATGGCAGGAGAGGAAGAGGGGAGAGGGTCAGACCCAGAGGGGCTCCATCCCAAACCAAAGATGGGAGAGGCCCACGGACACTTGGCCATGCAAACCAGATGCTGTGAGACCGATCAAGTAGGACGAGGACTGAGGACCAGCCCTTGAACTTGGCAGTCAAGAGATCACTGGCGTGGCTCATGGAAATATTTTTCATGGCATCGGGAAGGCCAAAACCAGATCATGATGGGTTGAGGGGTGGCTGGTAGGGAAGACTTAGAAACAGAAACAGGGTACATGGCTCTGCATCACTTTTACAAGTTTGATAATTCTTTTTTAAAACATAACTGCTGTGGTTAAAAAAAAAAAAAAGAACTTGAGGAGGGAGTTAGCATCACAGCAAGAATAGCTTGAAGGGAATCCAACACTAAAGGGTTTTTCTTTATCCAAGGATAGGGAGAATTGAGCATTTAGGAGGCAAAAAAAGAGCTGGAGAGAGAAGGAAGCTGGGGTTGGGTTCCGGGCCACAGGGACAGGGTGGCCTTGGGTAGGAGCAGGCTTGCCTGTGGCAAGAGGGCAGAAGGGACATTCTTTGGGACAGAGTTGCACCTGCTCCAGGCTGGCAGCTTCACTTTTCTCTGGTGGGAAGGAGGCAACACGACTGCTGAGAGAGCAAAGAAGGGGACTGGTAGTGGAATGAAGGTTTCAAGGTATGGGTGGTAGAGGCTGAAATACCTGCCTTGGGGAATGTGCAAAGAAGCCTGCTGGGGAGGCTAAGGGATTTCTGGGTAGAGTTAAAGTCCTGGATGATGTGGGAAATCATAACCTCTAACGATGGACTCTGGTGCACTTGGTTAGGCGGTTTTCTTAGGCAAAAGTGGTAGCCATGAATAGCATTTGAGGGTTGAAGGCTTTTTCTGGGCTGGCCAGGGGAAGGACAAGATGGGGAGAAAATTGGGGTGTCTTCAGCAAGAGTGTCTTAGGTGACTGACCCTGGGGAAAGGAAGGCGCTGAGATCCCAGTGGGGTAGTTTAGGGTCTGTGTTTCAGTAATGTGTTAGAGCAGGGGCTGTGGCCAGGAGGGACACAGAGACTGGACTATGGCCAGGGAAGAGTTCTGGGATAAACCCAGAGTGGCCCAGGTTAAGGGCATGTTCAGGTGGGAGCAGAGGTGAAGGTTGTTATGGCCAAGGAGGTCGATTCCAAGGCGAGAGAGTTAGAGAAGCCCTCCAGTGAGGTGGCTTCTGGCCACACAAGCAGCTCAAGTCTGGTTCTGGCCCTCTGGAAGTTGTGGCAGGGTATGTGGGAGGCCCGGGGAGGTGGCTGCAGCCCTGGTTGGTTGCGTAGCTGCCGTGGGACCCCGTGGCTTTGCCATACGCCATGGGCCAGCCATGTTGAGAAAGACAGACAGTCTCCACTTGGAAGGATTGCAAAGAAAACTGTCCAGTGAACACATTCTGGCATGAATGGGGCAAAGGAAGTAGGGATGAGGTGAGAGGTCAAAGGGGAAGCAAAGCTTTATTTTTAGATGCTCAGGAGGGCTCAGTGGAGTTAAAAGCTGGAGTCTTGGACAGATATTATCCCTGAGGTCTCTCCTGGTTCTGTCCTTATTAGCCAAATGACCTTGTGCAAATCACTGCCCCCTCCTCTCTCAGCATCAGCCTAAATCAGAAGATACCTACAGTCATGGACTGGTGTGCCTCAGGGGTGGCAAATAACAGGAGCCACATGTGAACAGATGGGGCGGGGCAGGGGCAGGAATACACCTGTGAAAACAGTGTTGGTGAAAGCGTCACTCCCTCTCTCCTCACTAGTGACCCGGATGAAGAGAAGGGGCTTCTGCAGAGGACACACAGGTAGCAGCTCCACCTGCGCTCCAGTCTGTCAGCATTTCCCCACTAACCACCTCGGAAATCCCCAAAGCAGCCCTGCCCAGCTTCAGAAGCCTCAGTCCCTCTGTCTTTCATCTCCTTCTCCTCCTGATCCCTCCCACCTACCCCCAAAATAAAGCAACCAAAGATGGAGACAAGTGTGAATCTTAAATTATTATTATTTCTTCCTGTCGCTTACACCCAAGGTTGGGGGGCAGGGGAAGGGGAGAGGAACGGGAGAGGGGGGATTGCCTCCCCTCCTAAGGCACTGAGTGGAGAAGCCACAAGGGGAGGAGGGAGGTCACGCTGCCCTCACTCCCTGGGGCTAGGCCCCAGGTCTCCCCAGCCCTGGGCTCCCCCATCACCTGAAATGCTAAGATGAGGCCCAGGGCAACCCGACCTTCCCCACCCCAATATATTACATCATCATTTTTTAAATAGATACAGGGACTGGTCCCGCTACCCCTCACTGTGACCCCCCCAACTATTGGGGGTACCTGGGCAGCTGTGCAAATGGGCATGGGGGCGCGAGGGAGGGAGAGCACCCGGCCCCTGAACCTGCCCCTATTAGGAGGGGGAGGGGCCGCCAGGCCAGGGAGGGGAATAGTGCAAGGCAGAGCCCAGGCCGCAATGGGGGTCCAGCACCCAGCGAGGAAGGGGAGGGAGATTCCCCCGCCCCCAGCAGAATTGGGTAGTTAAAAATCTGAAACTAGATTTCAACAAGGCCGAAAGAAGAGGCTATGTACAGAACCGGATGGATCCAATCGTAAAGGGAGACTGAAGGGATTACTACCCGTCCCCCGACCCCACAGGAAGCCAGGCTAGCAAGGGGCAGGGAAAAGGACTCCTTTCCCACAGGCCCGCAGCCCCCTCTCCCAGCGGCTAATCAAGAAGCTATTTGCCCGCTGCCTTGGCAAGGGGGCGCCGCTCACCAGCTGCGGTGGTTGAGATGCGCGGGGCGGCTCGCCCCAAGTGGCCGCCGGGGGCGCGCGCCCGAGCAGGGCACGGCCGCCAGATGGCGCCCGCCCGCCCAAGGCTCGCCAACCCCTCACCCGGTCCCACACCCTGCGCCGCGCCAGCCCGGGGGCGGCGTGAGTCAGGGGCGGCAGCGGTGGCGGCGGCTCCGGCTCGCACCTGGGCGGGGAGGAGAAGAGGGTAGGACGCCACCCGGCCCGCCCTGCCCTCTGGCCTCGGGGAGGGAGCGGCGGGAACAAGACATTCCCTGCCTGGGGACGCGGGAGGGGCGGCCAGGGGCGGAGAGCTGAGCGGAGCTGCTCCCCTAGCTGGGCGGGGCCCGTCCCGTTGCCCCCAGGGGCGGGCGAGCCAATCAGGCCACCCCGCCCCCTTCTCCTCCAGGACCCCATGACTCAGCGCTGGGAGCAGGGCGGAGGGGGACTAGGATGGCTCCTTCCTTACAGGCCCAGTCCCCCGGTCTTTCAAGCTTCTACCTTGCTTTCCCCCACCTACCCTTCCTTTGCCGCCCCCTTTGCATAATTCACTGTCAGGAAAAGGGAACAGAAACCAGGAAGGAGGGGTCTCGGAAGGGAAGGGAGGGGCAGTCCTTCACCCCCTTACACAGCCAAAACCCCAAGGGGCATGGGGGCGGGGCAAGGCTTTGGTCCCAAGCCCCCCACCCCCTAGAAACCCGCATAGCCGAAGAGGGACCCCACAAATCAGAAATACATTATTGCTTCTACTCCCCAGGAGCAGCTGGGGACAGGGACCCCACTTTTACAATCGAGCTGTAGATATATACATAATATCATATGTATCACTCCTTGGGAGATCACCCCAATCTGGGGAGCCTCTGCCCCAAAACCTTCTCAGCTTGGAACTGGAATGAGGGCTCTGGGGTGTAGGGGCTGATTTCTGATGCCAGGGAGGCTCAGTGCCCCGACCCCAGCTCTGTCCTGTACACTCCCACTGCTTGGCATGGGCACCCCAGCCTTGTGCTGCTCCAGCCTGGCCACTCATCTCTCTTTAAGAGGACTCCATGGCACCTTCAGCCTGAGGCGTGGTGGGTGCCCCCTCTTCTTCATCATCATCGGGGGGCCCTGGAGTGGAGACTGGGGGCCCGGTAGGGGCTGACTGCTCCCAGAGTCGAGCCAGAGAGAGGCGGAAGTTGTCCAAGTGGCCATTGGAGAGGTCAAGGCCAGCAGGGGACGGGGTGGTGGCAGAGGGTGGTGGGTAGTGGGGAGGCGCATCGTCCTTGCGGCGCCGCCGGGTGCGCACCTCCAGACAGTTCTGGCCCTTGAGGTGGCGCTGCAGGTGGTCCTCCTTGGCGAAAGCCTTGTGGCACAGGTGGCACTCATAGGGCCGGTCCCCCGTGTGCAGGTGCATGTGGTTCTTGAGGTCGTAGCTGTGCAGGAAGCGGGCTGGGCAGTGCGGGCACGAGTAGGGGCGCTCTCCGGTGTGCTTCCGCATGTGGATCTTCAGCTTGTCATTCCTGGCACAGGCAGGGGTGAGGGGCAAGATGTTCAGGATGGGATGGGTTTCCAGGCCTTGGCCAATTTCCGTCCCTCACCATTTGTTTTCCTATTGCTACCCCAGGATACCTTTGCTGACTTGCCCCTAGCTTAACCAGGGCACCCACTCCTCTGTGTCCACAGCCTTCTCGGACGCCATATCTTTCCTGTCCCAGAACCACCTCCCTTGACTTTCTTTCCCCTGGTCTCTTCTCTTTCAGGGAAGCCACACACACCCCCAGTCCCTCTAACATCACCCACCTCCACACCTCAGGGCTCCTAACGTGTTTCTCCCTGCCCTGACATGGCCCCTGCTGGGCCCCGTCCGGACAGGTACTCACCGAGTGAAACGGACACCGCAGACTTCACAGGCGAAGGGCTTCTCGCCCGTATGGGTCCTCATGTGGCGAGGCAATTTGCCTGCCCCATGGATGATCTTGTGGCAGACCGGGCACTCCTGGGGCATCTGGGAGCGACGTTTGCGCACCAGCTTGTCCTGGCCATCTAGGCCGGGTGCCAGGGTGTCCTGGTGCAGAGAACTCAGGTAGGCCATCAGGTCAGGGTCAATGGCATCCTCATCCGAGCCCAGCTCCTCTGGGGAGAGCGGGAGCCCGCTGCCCTGCGCCAGCCCGTAGGCTGGGGGATATACCAGCTCTTCCTCTTCTTCCTCACCCTCATAGGCCTCGTAGTTCAGGGACCCCTCCAGGGGCGAGGCAGGCCCTGCTGGGGGGCTGTAGCTGTCCCCCAGCCCACTGCCCCCACTGTTGCCCACTCTGCCTGCCACCTCCTCTTCCTCATAGGTCAAGGGATGGGTGGGCACTGTGGGCACCTCGGGTACCAGGTGGTTCGCCCGGGCCCCCTTGGTCTGCAGGAAAGCTTTTCGGGGCTTGCGGCTGCGGCGGGCAACAGGCCGAGGTGGCGGTGGTGGTGGTGGGAGGGGCACATGTGGAGGGCTGTCTTCGCCGTTGGGAACTCCTGAGGCCGTAGCCTTGGCGAAGGCCTCCAAGTACTGGCGGGCTCGCTCACAGTCATCCTCGTCGGGGCTGGGGGCTTCTAGCCCGCTACCCTGCAGAATCTCCATGCAGGCGGCGATGACACAGGGGATCTCCAGCAGCCGGGCAGCCTGGAGCACGGCCGGCATATTGGCACTGCTGGTGGTCAGAGTGGCTGTGTAGGCAAACTCGAGCAGGGCACCCAGCGCTTCTGGCCCCACAAAGTCCAGCTCACACACGCCGGCCCCTGCTCCCCCAGAGGCTGTCCCGCCACCCCCTGCCCCCATGATGGCCCCACCACCACCCTCCGTGAAGAGCTTCTTGAAGTAGTGGCTGCAGGCAGCCAGCACAGAGCGGTGGGTGCGATATTCAAGGCCCTGCGTCCGGATGGTAAGATCGCATAGGTGGCCCAACTGGCGCTGCTCGTTGAGGCAGCTCAGGAGCTCACTGCTGTGGTCTGGGAATGGAATCCCGATCAGGTCGTCCTCGGGGCTCCCCATCTCCTGTGGGGTCAAGTAGAGGGGGAGTTTAAGAGCACTCAGACCTGCAAGGGGGTCCACGGCCAGCACTGATACTCTTCTAAGCATTCACCCCCATTTAATCTTCCACAACCCTCTAAGGAAGGATTATCATCCATTTCACAGACAAGGAACCTGAGGTACAGGCAGTGAGGTGACCTTCCAAGTTAAGGGCACATGGGCGTCCAAACCCAGGCAGTGGGCCCAGAGCCCATACTCTCTCTTCCGCCTCTGTTAGGGCAGGAGCCCTGATTCCCTGGCCCTTTCCCGGAGACCCATCTGCTTCACCTGCCCCATTCCCCATCCCCTTGGAAGAAACCCTGGACAGGGAGAGGGGATGGAGGCCTGGGTCCTCGATCAGGCTCCATGAATAAGTGGCCGAACGGTTCTGGGGGGCTCTGGCAGCCAGTCTCAGGCATCTGAAAAGTGGGGTAACTGTGATGGAACTTCCTCACAGCCCAGAGAGGCACCAGTGGGTTCAGATTCACGTTGGACCAAGGTCTGCCGGAGTGGTCAGGTGCCTTAACTCCCTAAAGCATTTGGGGCACTGCAAAACACTACGTAAACGGGAGAGGCAGCTTCCCAGCACCGTCTTCCTCCTCCTCTTCCTCCTGCCGCCCCCCCACGCCCACTAAAAGTTCATCTCCCCTTCTAGATCCCCCCCTTCTAGAGACCAAAAGGGAAACACAGCTCCCAGCATCCCTCACCCCCCCACATCCTCCCCTCCCCCCTGGGGCCAAGGAGCAGCCACCCTTTGCTGGGGTGTCGCTGGCTGGCGCGGGTGCTTCCTGCCCCGCACAGATAAGCATCGTCCCCGTCCCCTCCCCCATTGCCCATAGGCCAAGTTCCAGTCCCCCTCTCCCCCATCAGCTACCAGCACCACCCCTCTCTCCCTATTCCTGGCCAGTCCAGAGAGCCCCCCTTCTCCAGAGGGCTTTCACCCTTTATGCTTTCCCTTCTGAGGTGCAGCCACAGAAGGCACTGAGCTGCCAGTCATCTCAAGGCTGCTGGAGGCGGGAGGGAGAGGGGGGCAGTAGAGTGAGCCTGGCCTAGAAGTGGGGAGATCAGCTTCAAGCCCTGCCTGTTACTATCTTGCTGAATGACC